AATTTCAAAAGATCCGCCAACGGGATTCGATACCGGTTCGTGATACGAGTGGGTCACATGACAGATCACTCACTTTCCCAAAGCACATTTATAGTGGAATTATCTAACAGGCAAATATATATATGTCATTGCAATCGAAAATCGGAATCCGAAACCGATTACAAGCACACAATAATATGTTAACTGAGTTGAGACTAGAGCGCATTCCAAAATGCGTGGCATTTTCTCTTCTTTTGATTGGCTTTAAATCATATAGTGCATTTAAGCTTAAACTCACCAGTTTTGTGTGAGCAGTTAGTCGTGGATCATGTGGGATTAAGCCTAAGCTCAGCTAATATATCTAAATATCTGGTAATTCTTACAACAGGAATATCAGGGACTCCGTTCTCAGCAATCTGAGGATGGCACTTTGGCATACAGTTGGAAAGTAAGGATTTACTTAACCAAATTTTTCCATTTAAAAGTTCCCAGTGCATCATAATGCATAGGAAAATCGAAATTTTATCTCAGAAAGAGAGAATTTACTCCGGTTCAGCAACCAACCTCATGTATTCTATTTCTAAGTCAATTTGTAGGGGAATCACTCTTTTGATTTTAAAATTTCAGGACTTTAAATTTATTAAAAGATGACTTTTGAATGTTACAAGATCTCATTTCATCTCTAACATTCTGCGACTCAAAGTTTATTCTCGATAAAAATGCAGCAAATATGAGATGTCACCCCCTCTTAATAATAATACTAATTGCAGAAGGAACCCTTATCACATGTCTTAACTAAGCAATTAGTATGAATAAACTATTATTACTTCAATAAGAGATGTAGTCACACTTGTTCTCAGCAGGTGATGTAGAATCAATAGTTGCATTTTCCCACAGTAAACTGGTTGGTAATAATGAAGCTATTAAAGTAAACGTAGTTTCGCCTTCCATAGGAATTCTCATCCAGCTTTTAGCTCGTTTGTACCACATCAGCATTCCAAAGGGATCAGGCGAAATATTTATCTTTCTAAGTCAGCCTAGCCATTACTTATCGCATGTATAGTGGGCTTTTCGATGAGAGAAACTTATATTTGGGCACCGATCGTAAAAATGAAGCAGTGATCAAAATTGGCAACAAAATCAAAATAAACATAAGGAATATACTTTTCCACAATGGCTTATATTCTGTCCTCTTTCGATACTATGTACTTGTCATTTTTCATTTTGTCTACCCAGTTGATTCGGCATAAACCAGTCGATGTTACAGAACAATATTATGATTATTTTGTGTTTCATAAGTATACTACTTAATTAAAATAATTAGTATAATTGTCACGCCTTGAAAATTAACATTCACAATTGTCAATTTCATGATGTGTTTCCATTACTTCGCGGAGCCGGGGAATGTATTGCTTCTTCTTCCTTTTCATTTTGCACACTGTCCTGTTTGCATTGTCTATTTATTCTTCTTGCCTGATGCTGTAACAATCTGGTTGACAGGTAGCTGAGTGGTCGGACGCTGGCCTGAATGAAGATGTCAAGATTGAGACAGGCGGCCGACAGACAGAAAAATGTCGCAGCCGCGACACTCAAACAGTAGGCATATCCAACATGATGCAGGAGGATTTGAGGCTCTCCAGAGTGGCTCAAGTGTGTGACAAAGTTGCCTGGAGCAGAGATTTTCAAAGAAAGTCCCACCATCTCAGGCCGTGACACCTGACCCAAAGGTAAGTGAGATGAATTAAAAGCATTCTGAGTTGCTTGGTTGTTCAGAGGGGTTGGACCAACCCCTTGTGCGGACAGAGGGTCATAGCTGTGTGAAGCAGCCAAGTTTGCAGATATGCCTGTCTGAGTGTTGGCTGGTACTGAGTCGGGGACTGTCGAGAATAATGAAGTTGACCGTGGCGGGGACTTGGACGTTTCCAGAAGTGGTGTCGAGGGCTGGAGAAAGAGGAAGGTGAAGAGATCAGCTAAACTGCCACGTGGCACACGGGCTTGACTTGGAAGAAGGCCACGATCGACAAGACGATCGACGTAGACGCTTGCCGAGGCTGGATAAAGTAGAAGGGCGCCGGCAATGCATAGGCCTGCAAAAGTAAACATGGTGATGAAGAGAGCAATGTCATAGCATCGGAGAAATTAGCATTCAACATGTGAGAGATTCTAATAGTCATTCTCCTCTTAGTCGTCACGGCTCAGTCTGATGAATGGATAGACATATGTCGTGTACCATTTCAGGCATCGAATCGAAGTTAAAAAATGAAGCGAATCAGTTGTAAAATCTATCCTTAGCATATGCATACATTTAATAGGAAAGTGTTAACTATTACAGAAACATACATTATTCGGAATGGTAATTAATCCCAAAAATGCTGTCATACGAGGCAACCAAGAGAGGCGGCTAGCTTTACCAAATTAAACAAACTTTGTTAATGCAAGAAAAGTGAAGCATGAATGGATCGAGGTCCAACGCGATGCTGGAATTCGAATTATTGGAGGAATGATGTTTTTCATTTTCGTGCAATGATAAGGATTTTGCTCAATGTAAGACTTTACTTTGATCGTATCATTTTTTCACCTGTCCACCACGTCAAAGATACTAAAACCAATCTAAGAGAGGAGAGAACGAAGAATGTTCAGAAGAATCATGGT